GACCGAAGCAGCTGCTGCTGCCGCACCATCAGCACCATCAGCAGCAGCAGCAGCAGCAGTTGCTTCTGCTGCTGCTGCTGCTGCTTTATTTGCCGGAAATGGACTCGAGCCAGGCAAGAAGCTGCTGCCACAAAGAGTCTCCTTCTTTGTTGTGGACAAGACCCAACACGAGGCCAGCAGCAACCAGCAGCACCACCAACACCAGCACAGTCACCAGACAGGCCCAACACATCTTTTCTGCTGCTGCTGCTGCTGCTGCTGCTGCGGCCGCGGCTGCGGCTGCTGCTGCTGCTGCTGGGGAGCAGCGGGATGCTGCCGCTGCTGCTGCTGCTGGGGCGCCGCGGGCTGCCGCTGCTGCTGCTTCTGGGGCGCCGCGGGTTACTGGTGCTGCTGCTGCTGCTGCTGCTAGGGAGGCGCGGGTTGCTGCTGCGGTGGCTCGGCTGAGGCGGCAGCAGCTGCAGCAAAGCAGCTACCTGCGAGTCTCCGCAGGCGCGCAGCCGGAGAGACCCAGAAGCTGTTGCTGCTGCTGTGCTCCTGTGTTTCCTGCTGCTGTTGTGCTTCCTGCAGCTGCTGCTGCTCCTGTGCTGCTGCTATGTTTGGTGGTGGTGCTGCTGCTGCTTTGTTGCGGCGGCTGCTGCAGCTTCTGCGGCTGCTGCTCCTCCTGCGGCTGACACGTTAACGGATTTGTCTGCTGCTGCTAACTTTGTTGCTGCTGAAGTGCTGGTGTGAGGATTCAAATGGTGCTGCTGCTGCAACAGCTGCTGCTGCTGCTGCTGGTGCTTCCTTTTATCTCCTCAGCGTCGGCAGCTGACGCATTATTGTGTCCGTCTGGATCCTCTCAAGGCCTAAACCCTCGCCCCCAAACCCTAAACCCTAAACCCTAAACCCTAAACCCCGCGCGAGCCCCCAGGGTCACCTCCCGGGGGGGGCGTTGGCAGCTGCTGCGCGAGCTGCTGCTGCTGAAGCTGTTTGTTTTTCTTTGCTGCCAGCAAACTCCAAAAAAGAAATTAAATTGAAGTGGATGGCGCTGGAGGGGGGGGAAGGCGGCGCACTAAGTTGGGGTGTACATACACCTCAACGGTGACGGCGGCTGCAGTCGCTCCCTGGCAGCAGCAGCAGCAACAGCAGCTGCTGCTTCCTTTTTGTCTATTTTAAACTTTATTTAGTCGAATTAACTCAAATAATATAAAAGTCCCGCGGGAGATGCCCCACGACACAAGCAGCAACAGACACGGGGGCACGCTGCAGTTAGCTGCTGCTGCTGCTGCTGCAGCACCAGGGGGGCCCCCAGACAGCGCCGGGGGCCCCCAAAGGGCCCCCTTGATTGAATTTGATGATAGAAAAAGATGCCTTTTGGACTTTTGCGCGAGGTTTCAGCGTGAGGGTTTATATTTAATTATAATGAAATATATTTGCTGCTCAGCAGCAGCAGGAGCAGCAGCAGCAGCGCCTCTGGCTCCCGTGCCTCGGGTCGGCCGAGCCCAGGTGTACGTACACCCCAACACCTCCGCCAAACTTTCAGGGTTTTGCAAATTTAATATTTAACTTTTGAGTTTGCAGAGCTCTAGGGTTTGGCTTTTGGGAGCTAGGGTTTAGGGTTTAGAAGTGAGGGTCTGATTCAACAGTCTCGCCGCTGCAGCAGCAGCAGCAGCAGCGACTGCTGCAGCTGCTGCAGCTGCAGCAGCAGCAGCAACACCTGCAGCAGCAGCACACGTCCCGGAAGGCGCAACACTTTCGGCAGCCGCAGCTGACGCACAAGGACGGCTTCCTAGACTCAAACCCTAAACCCTAAACCCTAAACCCTAAACCCTCGGTTCTGCAGCGCGAGCGGCAAAACCCCAACATGTCTTGCACAAACTCTCCTCCTCCTCCCTCTTGTGAGGGGCCAAGGCAGCAGCAGCAGCAACAGCAGCAGCAGCAGCAGCAGCAGCAGCCAGCGGATCCGCCGCAGCAACCTCTCCCGCACCCGCACCGCCCCCAGAAGCAGGAGCAGCAGCAGCAGCAGCAGCAGCAACGGCAGCAAGATCACCGGCAGCAGCGACAGCTGCCCGAGCCGTCGCCGCCGCCGCATCCACAGCAGCAGCAGCAGCAGCAGCAGCAGCAGCAGCAAAAGGAGCAGGAAGGCAGGCAGCTGGCGGAGTGGTTTATGCTGCACTGTTTAAATAATTCTTTTTTCGAAAATGAATTTGAAAAAAAACAAAAAGTCTGGAGACAAAAAGATCTGGAAGACTCCCCCATAGGCCCCCAGCTCTTGGACCCCGTTAGGCCCAAACCCTAAACCCTAAACCCTAAACCCTAAACCCTAAACCCTAAGGGACAAGGGCCCCTTATCTCTGTTTTGCCTTTTGCCACCATTTACTACTAATATTAATTAATTTATTATTATTACTACTATTATTATTATTATTATTATTAATTAATTAATTAATTAACTAATTTATTTATTTATTTATTTATTTATTTGTTTATTTTGCCTTCAGTCTGCCTTCGCCGAAATTCTGTATCGCGTTTGGGCGGCGGGGAACTTGGCCTTATTTAAGGTGAAGAAACAAAAATAAATAAACTAAATTAAATTAAATTAGATTCATCAATCAAGTTTAATCAATTAAATTAAATTAAAAAAATAAGATGAATAA